CAAAATAAAGGTAAAAAAGAGTGAGGAGGCCGGGCGTGGTGGTATGTGCCTTTAATCCCAGCACTTGGGAGGCAGAGGCAGGTGGATCTCTGTGAGTTCGAGGCCAGCCTAGTTTACCTAGTGAGCTCCAGGACAGCTGGGGCTACAGGGAGACCCTCCTGACTCAAAAAAAAAAAAAAAAAAAAGAAAAAAATAAAGGGAAGATACCACTGACAAATAGCGTTTTGGAAAGAGACCCAAAACTGTACAGCTAGAATTCTGTGATTTTCATAGTTGACTGTGAAGTACAGCCAGGGATGGTAGAGCACAACAGGCCTGGCCCAACAACCTCTCCTTGAGGCACTCAGCCCTGGAGCTGGAGTCTAGGCTGTAAAACATGTTTCTGTGCACATACATCCTAACATTAAGATTTAATGTTTTCAATCTCCGTTCTGTTTGACTCTGTCCAAGCTCTGATCCCTACCCCAGGATTAAGACCTTCATCTTTAAAGATATGATCCCTGTGCCAGCCTTCATAGGACAATGCTCAGCATCAACCATTAGAAGAAAGTGAAAGTGCTTCTGTGTGTCAGTGAGCTGGGTAAGGCGCACAGAGCACAACCTCACTACTCTGGGCTTCGACGTGAGCTTCAGCTGTTAGTGAGTCAAGGAAAAGAGCTGTAGGCTGTAACAACTGAATTTAAACAACAAAATGGATAAAAAACATTCTGAAAGAAAAGCAACTACATGGTTGGATTCATTATATGTTTGCTACCTACTGCCCTGTAACAAATTACCTCCAAACCATTCTCTTTTTATTCTCTCTCGTGGTTTCTGGAGGTCAGAAATTCAGAACTAACCCAGCAAGCACAGCTTGCTCTACAATGCCTGGGATCTCTGCTGGGGCCTTGTTTCACTCACTAGTCTGGTGGTGGACACTGGCTATTGCCTGGAACATTCATAAATGCCTCTTCATGAGACCTGGACTTCCTCACATAATGGTGTTTGAATCTCAAGGGTAAGTGCTCTGAGTGGTAGGAAGCCAGATGAACTTCTTGTTGCCTGTATTACTTAGCCTGTGAAGCCAGTTACTTCTGCCATTTTTTCTGTCTGCTGAGGCACTTACAAAGCCCCACTCAGGCTCAATGAGAGCTAACACAGACCCATCTTGAGAGGGAATCTCACTTCATACTTCAATAAAAGTATATTAATGCAACCGCCTTTGGAAAATAGAGTCTGCCCCACATTATTTGTCTTTTTAACATTCTTACTCACTTTCTCAGATTCTAAACTAGCAGGTGCTTGCTGTAAGAAGAGAGTTCAGGGGCTGCAGAGATGGCTTGGCAGTTAAAGAGCACTGGCTACTCTTGCAGAGGACCCGGGTTTGGTTCTCGGCATCCACATGGCAGCTAACAACCATTCTTAACTTCAGTTCCAGGGATCTGATGCCCTCTTCTGACCTCCATGGGCATTACAGGACACAGGTACACTTACATACATGCAGGAAATACACTCATACACATAAAATTTAAAAAATAAAATTTTTTTAAGAAAGAAAAAATTTCAATAAAAATCCAAAAGTATAGACCAAAGTGGGTTTCCTCCCACTTTACTATCCTGATTCCACCTCCTAGTGAGAACCGTTATCAACTTTTGATGTTATTTGTGTGGAAATGATACCTGTACAAATATTATGAATGCTAGCATACATGCACACTATTCTACGACTTGCTTTTATTCATCATGTGATGGGCAGAATTCCACATTAGGGCATATAAAACCACCTGATTTCAAATGCTGGCTGTCTTCATGTGGGTGTGATTACTCAGTCAATCGGCCTTTAGCTGATGGATTTTTTTTAAATTATTACTTTTATTTATGTGCATGTATGTCTATGTGAGTTTATGTGCACCACATTTTGCAGGTGCCTGAGGAGGCAGGAAGACATCAAATCCCTTGGATCTGGAGTTACAAGGGGCTGTGAGCTGCCTGCTGTGGGTGCTGGGAACCGAACCCAGGTCCTCTGCAAGAGCAGCAAATGCTCTTAACCACTGATTCAGCTCCCCAGCTCCCTGATGAATTTTTAGATTCTCATTTTTTCTTCATCTATTACAAGTAAATGATAGATACAGGGGCTGGAAAGATGGCTCAGCGGTTAAGAACACTGACTGTTCTTGCAGAAGACCTGGGTTTGAATCCCAGCACCCACATGGCAGCTAACAACTGTCCGTAACTCCAGTTCCAGGGGATCTGACAGTCTCTTCTGTCCTCAGAGTACATTGCACGACACGGGTGCACTTACCTACATGCAAGCAATACACTCATACACATAAAATAAAAATAATAAATAAAATATTTAAAAAAACAAATGATGCAAAGAACATCCTTCTCTAGGTCATATAGGGTGAGATCTTAGAACTGGAGATGTCTTAGTCTAAGAATATGCAAGATACTATTTTCAACACAAGAGCATTTTTTTTCAGCTCAGACTGCATCCTCTCCCTCCACTCCCCGGAAAGAGTTAAGTTGACATCAAGAAGAATATACTTTTTCTTTGCAAATAACTGGGCTTCCCTGTTTAGGCTTAATATGAAAAAGAGAAATGAACACATTTGTTCTAAGGCTTAGAAGATACTTGAGCTTTGAAGGAAACTTCTCATTCATTTAGACAGTGGTGAGCGGCTGGAGTTGAGGCTATAAAGAGGAATTTCCTTTTCTAATGTTTTTAAAAAATATTTTTAATTTATTATTTGTATCTTATGTGTATGAGTGTACTGCATGCATGTACACACCTGTCGTCCAGGGTCTGTGGAGGTCATAGAGGGTATCAGATCCCCTGGAACTGGAGTTATGGACAGTTGTTAGCCGACATGTAGGTGCTAAGAATCGAACCTGGGTTCTCTGCAAGAGCAGCCAGTGCTCTTAAAACACTGAGCCATCTCTCCAGCCCCTTTTTCTAATGTTTTTAACTTGGGCTGATATGGATTTGGATGTGGATTTCTCAAAGTTCAGGCTGATGCTTAGAGGTATGCTTGTCAGAAGGTGACAGAAAACAGGAAACCAGGTAAAGGCAAAGGAAAAAAAGTGTCATGCATGACGCAAAAGTAAAAAGGTGGCTGTACTGGCCATGCAGGTGACTGTAGCTGTATAGTAGATCTCAATACGGTCAACCTGTCCAATCCTTTGCTCACAGCTGCCTAGACTATGACTCATTCTTGCAGAGATGGTTATTAAAAACTTCCCTGCAAGCCTGGGATTTAGCTTAGTAGTACAGCACTTCCCTACCACAGACAAGGCCCTGGGTTCCATCCCCAGCACCACAAAAACCAAAGTGAAAACAAAACAACTTCACAAATGAAAGCCTGTTTGCTTGGCATGAAGTTCCAATTTATGCTACAGCATGGAATGAACCCTGAGGGCTTTGTGCTCAAGTGCAGTAGGACAGACCAGCACAAAAGGATAACTATTGTACAATTCCACTTATACGATATATGATATATCATCCAAAAGAAAAATTCAAAGAGACAGAAAGTGGATTAGAGGTCACCGTGGGTGAGGGAAAGGGGGACCAGGAAGTGATTGTTTATGAGTATGCACATTCTGCTTGGGGTGATGAAAAAGTTTTGGCAATAGTGATGGATGCACAACACTGAATGTGATTAATGGTGCTGAACTATACAGTTCTAATAGATTAGACAGCCAACTTTATGTAATACACCTTCAGAGGAGCAATTTCTTAGCTGGAACAGAAAAGAGAGGTTAGGGTGCTGCTAGAGTTCCCAGGGCTTTGCCTTCCCTTTTGTTTGAAAAGAACAGCATCTATTTTTAGGGATTTCACACAAAAGCTTGTGGGCGTGGGAAGCACTCCCAGCTGCCCTCCTGTTTTCTCAGAAGCCCACATGGAAGCCTAGCCAGTTATTTAAGGTTAGGAACTATGCCAGATTGGAAATGGAGATGATTTAACCTCTCTGTATGTTAACTCGAGTTTTTTTCTGCAACCAGAGACCTTGGAAACCTTACTTCTCCCCTAGGGAAGGTGGTTCTGGGTCTCGCTGAAGTGGAGAGGAGCATGCCTCCGGGCACTTTCTTGTTACCAGAAGCTTCACTCCCTGTCACTTTGGGGTCCCCCGGGCTGAGTAGCCAAACCGTCCCCCGCCACCCCCCACCCCCAGACGCGCGGTGCTCAGGACCTGGGCTCCTGTCCAGATGCTGCTGCCCCTACGGGTCAGGCGGTGAGACCGGCTCTTGGGGACGCGGGACCCGCTCAGCCACGTGGCGGGGGTGGGACGGGGCGGGGCCGGGGCTGCATGCAGCCGTGGAGGGACAGGTGAGGGCGTGTGGGCATCCAGCGGTAGTGGGCGGCCGGGGGTCGGGGGGCGGCGCGTGGACGGCGCCAGGAGTGGGCGGCCCTTCCCCAAATGGCAGGGCTTGGGGGCCCGGGTGTTTGCGGGGTACAGCGGGGTTCCATGGCGTGGGGATGATGCGGCCTGGGGTGTGGGTCCTTGAACCCCAGTGCGTTACCCTGAAGTTCCTGGATGATGTACCACACTCACCCAGCTCACTGGAATCTTCCTAGGCTCCTTTCCTCTCACGATCTCCACTGAGGGCTACTGTCTGGCCAGCAAGGCGCTGAAGGGACATCTTTTTCTCACCACCTGCCCTATCTATCCCTGGCCTGGCACCAAGGGGAATCCTAAGACAGCCCCCTCCCCCAACATCTACCCTCTCCCACTATTATGATCCATTCTACAAGCACCCACTACCTGGGACCGTGATGACCTTGCTCTGTACAGAAGGTTCCAAGGCAGATGAGGATTGGAATTTGAGCAGGTGGGCTCTGGACCACTGGGGAGGAGTCTCCAGATGAGGCAGAACCAAATTCCTTCCTCACCCAGGCCCTTGCTTGATGTAGAGCAAGGATGGACAGACAAGAAGTGAGGAGGAGCTGGCCTGACCAAGGGTGATATTTGCTTTGCAGAGACGTCTCCCCACCTGGAGCACGAGGATCCCCTTCCTGGAGAATGGCCCATAGTTCTCCACAGGAACTTTTTCATGAGGCAGCCCAGCAGGTAAGTGTGTGTAGGGGTGGTGAGGGTGAGCTAGGTGTGACAGGTGAGGGCAGACCTGGAACATGACAGTGTACTGTTTTAAAAGCGGTCAGATCAGAAGTTTATTTAGACGTTGCAATTTTATTGAGAAAATACCATGGACAGCGTTTCACTGAAAAAAGTCTTTTTTTTGGCATTTTTTATAATAAAGTTTGAATCTCGGGCCCCCACCCTCCACCCCATCATGGGAGGTTTTCCATAAATGGAGCAAAGACTCAGATGATATAAACTTCTTTTAGTGTCGAATCAAATCAATGTGAGAAGCTTTGTTTATTTTTAAATATTTATTTATTTATTTATTTATTTGTGTATGTGTGTGTACCATGCCAGTCATGTGAAAGTCATGGAGAACTTTCAGGTGTTGTTTTTCTGCATTCACCATATGTGTCCAGGGGCTCTAACTCAGGTCATCAGACTTGGTGGCAAGTACCTTCACCCACTGAGCCATCTTGCCACTCTTCCACTTTTTTATTTATTTATTATGTCTATGAGTGTATTGCCTGCATGTGTGCAAGTGCACCCATGTCCTGCAATGCCGTGGAGGTCAGAAGAGGGCTTCGGATTCCCCTGGAACTGGAGTTATGGAAGGTTGTTAACTGACATACGGGTGCTGGGACTTGAACCTGGGTCATCTGCAAGAGCAGCCAGTGTTCTTAACTGCCGAACCATCTCTCCACCCCTGTTAAGTTTATTTTTGGAAAAACTCATAAACTGATGTCAAATGGATTCCTGGATTCCCTGATGCTTGCTGGTGTTTTGTGTTTTTTTTTTTTCTTTCTTTCTATTTTTCCTTTACTTCTCCGTCTTGATCATTAAGTATAGAAGATATTCAGTGTGTAGTAGATGGGGAATTGAAGTGACTCCCCCAGATTAACTATTTCTGTTAATCTGCCATCTATAAGATGAATACTCAACTTGAAGTTAATGCTTTATAGAGAGGGGCAGGAAGGTTGTCCTTGCATTATAACAGGGAATAAGCTCTTCAGAAGGAAAGAGAACCTTTCACTCAGAGATTCACAGTAGCAAGAGAGCAGGAACCAAAAGTGTCCAGAGCCATATTGCCACTCAGACATGGCTGGTAACTCCCCTTGCATATGCTTGATGATTGACAGGCAGTAAATGCTCAGTAAAATATACTGCTTCCTCCCCTCATCAGGCCTAGGGTACCTATAGCTCCTCACACTTAGCCCTAGAAGCAGTCAGGCTGCTTAGAAATGAATGACTAGAAACTTGGAATTGTTCCTCAAAGCACTTCATTACAGGCTGGGGATGTCACTCGGGTGTAGCACTTGTTCAACATGTACAATGCCTGGGCTCCATCCATAATGTTGCTGGAAAAACCAAACCAATACAAAAAGATAATTATTTTTGGCTAAAGCTGTTGACTCCTTCGTAAAAAGGCTTGGGGCCATGTTCTTGGTGTGGTTGGGACCCTAAGAGAGCTTCTTTTATTGAAAAATTACTAATTATTTGTGTAGGGGTGGGGGGTGTGGATGTCAGAGGACAACTTGCAGGAATAGGTTCTCCCCTTCCACCATATGAGTCCAGAGGAACAAACTCAAGTTGTCAGACTTGGCAGCAGGTGCTTTACCCACTGAGCCATCTCACCAGCCCATAGAGAGCTTCATTTGTCAAGGTCTTACATGCATTTCCTTTGACCAGTCTCTCACATAGTTCCCATATGTTTTCTTTGGATGGTAAGACTCCATCTGTTCCAGGCATGGAGTGTCATATCTGTAATTTAACCATGCAGAGGCTAGGGTAGGAAGATTTTGAGCTACTATGTGATTATACCCTCAACATTTGTTTATGGACCTATTCTTAATAGTGGGCACTGTATTGATCATGAAAAAGAACCTCAGGTAGGAAATGCAAGGCCTCAAGGAGGGTAAATGAAGATGTTATTTTGGGTTCCCTGAGAAGAATTTGGTCGGGCTTAGCTCTGATCCTGTCTCCCCTGTTTAAAGCCTCCAGTGGCTACCTATATCTAGCACCCAAAGTTGGAAGTCATTACTGTGGGTCCTGCATGCCCTGATCCAGTCTAAGCTTCCAGCATCATCTTTGCGCTCCACCTTTCAGGCAGACCACGCCATTTCTCAGTGCTTGTATTTGGTCTTAGCTGATATTTCTTACTCCAATAGTTTGCATTGGAACCCTCCCAGTACCTAGGGTGTGCCTGGCATTTAAGTGGACAATGAATGTACTTGACTGACCAGCTGAGCAACCAACAGACAACTAACTACAGTACAAAGTCTGTACTGTACCAAAGAGAATGTTGGTTTTTTAAAGTGTGGTATTTGTAAAGGCCTCTTTGTCACCTCCTCTCTCTAAACACTGAAGGACTGTACTATGTCCAGTGTCCATGCCTTTGGTGTTCACAATATAGAGACACTGAAGTCCATCCTCTTTAAAAAATTTATTTCTTATTATCTATTTATTTATGTGTTTGTTTGTTTGTTTGTTTATTGGTCTTTTTGAGACAGGGTCTCCCTATAATCCCAGCTGGACTGAACTAACTATGTAGACCAGGCTGACCTTGAACTCACAGAGATCTGCCTTCCTTTGCCTCCTGAATGCTGGGATTAAAGGCATGAGCCACCAGGCCTGTCTATTATTTTTATTTTTTATGTGTACAAATGTATTGCCTGCATGCATGTAAGTGCACCAGTGTCATGCAATGCCTTCAGAGGTCAGAAGAGGGTGTCAGATTCCCTGGAACTGGAGTTATGGGCAGTTGTTAGCTGCCATGTGGGCACTGGGACCCGAACCCAGGTCCTCTGTAAGAGCTGTCAGTGCTCTTAACTGCTGTGCCATCTCTCCAGCCCCTATTATTATTTTTTAATTGTGTGTGTGTTTTTTTTGTTTTTGTTTGTTTTGTTTGTTTGTGTGTGTGTGTGTGTGTGTGTGTGTGTGTGTGTGTGTGTGTGTGTGTCTGGGTTTGCACATCTGAGTGCAGTACCTTCAGAAGCCAGAAGGTGTCAGATCCTCTGGAACTGGCGTTACTGGAACTAGCCATTGGGTGCTGGGAATTGAATTTGGGTCCTCTGAAGAGCAGAATGCCCTCTTAAACTAAGCCATCTCTTTAGCCCTTCATCCCACTTTCTCTCTTTCTCTCCTCTGCATTGTCTTGTCTAGGGTACCATTTCTTGATTGGATGGTTCATGCCCTCTTAATGCCTTCATCTTTTGCTAGTAAAGCAAGTGGCACTTTTCTAAGTATAGACCTATGTATTTAACTCTTCTGAAAGCTCTGTGGCTTCTCCTTCCTCAGTGTCCAATTCAAACTTCTCTTGGCGCCTCAGTTCCACGGAGATCTAACCCACCTGCCCTGTCCCATAGCACCTGTAGCACTTGCACTATGGCATGGAAATGAGCCGTTTCTGTCGTATCTCCTTGGAGGCTCAACTTCAGAGACATGTCTTGGTTAAGTTATACTCTGGATACTTGACACAGTGCTTGATAATAGATGATGCTCACCCGTGCTGGTCCTACTGACCTGGACTCTACTGGCTAGGGATTGGGGGAACTGTCATTTGCATCAGGTCTTGAAGTATTGGTGGAAGGAGAGCACATGGTAAGTTTGGGAAACATATCCCAGGTGAGAGGGAAAGACAATTATAATAGCTACCAACGAGTGAGTGCTTGCTTATTCTGAGCACTTAGTGTGCATTGTCTTCACAAAAGCGTTCTGAGATGGATAGAGTTACTTTGGTTTGATAGATGAAGGAATGCTTTGAGTGGAGGCATGTCTGATGGGAAGGCCCAAGCTTTCACCTTTTCTGATGTGTACTTCCTGCTTCAGTGATGTGAACATAGCCATAGATGATAAGTCAAGGGCCTCTGTAGGAGACAGAGCAAGGTAGCTATTGTGTTTGAAGCTGAACTCTGGGGGTGGCTGGCCCTTCATAAACGTCCTGTGAATCTTTTTCTAACCTTTACCTTGGTGGTTGGGAATTGTTGCAGAGCTTTGGGGCCTATAAGAACATGGTATTAAGAAGGCAAAACCCAGTGAGAAGACAGACTAGTGGGTGTTGTGCCAAACCTTCAGGCTTGGCCTGCCTTTCTCTCGCTCAGTGGGAAGTAGCTCAGAGCTTCGAGTTAGATAAAGAAGTGAATGAATAGATTCTTGGTTTGACTTTAATCATTCTAGGATCAAATGGGGTAGGAGTGCATGTGCACGTGCATGCTCACACGTATGTGTGTGTGAGTGTGTGTGTGTGTGTGCGTGTGTAACTGGACTTGCTGAAAAGGGGCTGTAGATCTAAGGGGTAATGGTCTCGTGGTCAAAAGTACATGTGCAGCCTGGGTTCAAGCACTTGCTCCACCTTTTGTGAGTTTGGACCAGTTTCCTACTTCACCGAGCCTCCATTTCCTCACCTATGAAGTGACTCCAATGAGTGATCCTACTCTAGGGGACTAAGGAAGAACAAAGGAGATAGTTCATGTAAAGATTCCATATCGTACTTGGTTCATAGTAAATAGTCAGTAAATGTTGGCCAATAATAAAGCTAAGGTGGGGAGGCTGCTCTTAGTCCTTGGCATAGTGATAGAAATCATCAGAAGGATCCACTGGCAAATGAATGCGTGACTTAGCATAGCAAAGTCAGGCAGAAGAAAGACCCAAGGCAGGACTGTTGGATTATGAATGGTACCATGGAGGAAGTGCTTCCCCGTGTCTGAGGCCTGCCTGGGTCCAGAATGGCCACTCCTGCCCCTTGCCTCTCTGTGTGGTAGCCCAGCACTGCTTGACTTCCTGCTCTTTCTCTGTCTTCTCAATTCCACTTACCTAAATTAACTTGACACAGTAATAGAGTCTGGTCAAGTTTGTGGAGTGGTCAACAGGGCAGTGACCTTGGTAAAAGAGGCAAATTAAGCCAAACATATCAAGAGACAGAGGGGTCCTCAGAGATCCTCTGGCCTCACACTCTTGCTTAGCTTGCCAGGGAACAAGCTCAGAGATGT